GAGTCATATTAGCTTGTAGGTTTGGTTCTTTTCATACTGGTCTTAGTAGGACTTGGCATTTCCTTTATGATTGTCATTTATGATTTATATATTTTCTCAGTTGATATCTTTCCTGTGCAGCTGTTGTTCATGATTCTGGTTACCAAGTTCCTGCACCAAAGAAGAACCAGCATAATGACAGAAAGAAAGTTTGGTTCAGAGTTCTATTCTTTCTGACACAACCCAAGACACTGAGTATCTATATTGGGGCCATCAACTATTCTCATATCAGTATAGAACTTGCTTTGTAAATAACCAAGAGAAATAGAAACTAAATTTAAATTAAAGCTCTATATATTGGTTTTGATAATTTACTGTCTCTACAATTCTGTTTCCTTCTCTTTATGATCCAGGTCAGTCATTCACACAGAGCAAGATGTCCCAAGAATCAAAGATTATAAGCATGTGCTCATGTCTTCTTTTTCTTTCCAGTTACAGCAGTGGAGAGCTCCTAAGAGTGGATTCAGACGTTCCAGACTGGAGCACTAATGTCACAGCAGTGAATGGAAAAAACCACACTGGAATTTCATTTTGTGACATTGTGTTCTATACCATGATTTTCCTTTCTCTCATCATTGTCCTGGTTGGACTGGTTGGAAATGCCATAGTGTTGTGGCTTCTGGGATTCCACATGCACAGGAATGCCTTCTCTGTCTACATCCTCAACCTGGCTGGGGCTGACTTCCTCTTCATGTACTTTCAAATTGTACACTCTGTTCTTTTTATTTTAGAAATCTATTCCATTCCCACAGGCATCTATACATTTTCTTTTGTTGTGTCAAATTTTGCTTATCTTTGTGGCCTGAACATCCTCAGTGCCATTAGCATTGAAAGGTGCCTGTCTGCCATGTGGCCCATCTGGTATCACTGCCATTGCCCAAGGCACACATCAGCTGTCATATGTACCCTGGTTTGGTTTTTGTCACTGCTGTTGAGCCTCCTGGACTGGACGGTATGTGGTTACCTATCTGGTAGTCTTGGCGTTGGTTGGTGTCAGACACTTCATTACATCACTACAGCATGGTTAATTGTTTTGTTTGTGGTTCTCATGGGGTCCATTCTGGCCTTAATGGTTACTATCTTGTGTGGCTCACGCAGGATTCATGTGACCAGGCTGTATGTGACCATTGTGTGCACAGTGCTGGTCTTCCTGTCATTTGGTCTGCCCTATGGGATCTACTATTTCCTCTTATCAGGGATTGAGAATTTTGATGATTTTTTGTCTTGTTATTTTTTTCCATTGACAAGAATTCTGTCCTGTTTTAATAGCTGTGCTAATCCCATCATTTATTTCCTTGTTGGCTCTATCAGGCATCGTAGGTTCCAGAGAAACACTCTCAAGCTACTTCTGCAGAGAGCCATGCAGGACACTCCTGAGGAGGAATAATGTGGAGAGGGGGTGTAGCAGGAATCTTTAATAAGACAGTTACTTCTACAGGGGGGTTCTTCAGGAATATATATCTAGAGAAGTGAAAACAGGCAGCAACTTGAGAACACATTTGATCATTCAGAAGTAGCTTTGAGAAACAACTTTGTCCTCATTAGTTTGTGGCATTTTCATAACTTTGCTTAGTTGATGATCTGAGGCTAAATCAGTAGGGAAAGTGTTCAGTCTTGCAGAAGTTGATACTGGACTTGTTATACAAATACAGACTGCAGTATTTCTGAAGCTGTCTTGCTCAGTGTTTCATCACCTTTTTTTGATGGAACCCTTTGGAAGCTCTCTGGGGTCCTGGAGAGCTGCTGATCACTATTGACAAATCCTTCCAGAAGCAAAGAGGTCAAGGAAATGGAGTAAAGAGTTGCATTTCTTTTGTCACTAAACTTGACAGTAGTTAAATCCATGTTATATTTTGCCAATATTTCCTTTTTAAAAACAATCTTTTCTCAATGTTTGAAGTGTCAAATATCATTTATATTTATAATATAATCTTGTTATATTATAAAATCTTATAATTCAGTCCTTATTTTTTTTTTGGTAGATTTCAGAGATTTTTATGGAGGATTGTCTTTCTTATGTAAATTTCTAAGTTAACAATTATACATTCTCAAGAGAAATCTGTGTTAAACTTCTATTCACCCA